ATTTCTTTATGTCTCTAAAAAAGGACTCTAGTTGCCTGAAATCCAATGAAACCAGCCTAAATTTTTTAAAAAAGTGACTGTGATTATGGTGGGTGGGTGGTCTCTCAGGGCTCATGAAACAAGGAAAGTCAAGAAGTGAGTCTGGCTTCAGGTGTCACTGCATCCAAGGGTGTGTCATCAAGAAGGGGACCCTTTGGCCTGTTGCTCGGCTGGTCCCCCCACCTCCCGTTAGGTCTTATTCTCGGGAAGCTGCCCCCACTGGGCGGTGAACACAGCTGCTGGCAGCTCCAAGCTCTGTTTCCAGGAGAAGGCATTTCTTTTCCAGCCATTTCAGCAAAAGTCTGGACTGAGTCACATGTCTTTCCTTGAGCCAGCCGTGCAGTCAGGGCTGTGGACACTCTGACCGGCTAGATGTGGAGCTCGTGCCCTGGACATCAAGAGGGCCCCCTCTGGCTGGAAATTTGTGGGTTCAGAAGTGGGCTTCCTCAGAGAAAAGCCCAGGCGTGATGGTTGGAAGAAGGGATTCTGGACTAGCAAATACCAAATATGTCCACCTTGGTTTCAGCCAAAACCCCCTTACTTAGTAAAACAAGGACCAAAGCTGTGTCTTACTGCCTTTATATCCTTACTGGCTCTTCCAGGACTGGAACGCAACATTCAGGACATATTTAGCAAGCCTGTGCAGAGGTGTAAGAGGTGTCGGGACTGGGGAAGACACACACAGCTTTTCATATGGAGTGGCCAGGATGTAAGGTGGGCATTGACCAATGGGTGGAAATGCAGGGATGGATGAGAGAGGAATTTTGAGGAATGACTGGCAGGACTTGGTGACAGATTAGCATGAGAAGTTGTCCAGGAATGAAAGTCTAGGATTTCTGTTCTGAGTAACTGGGAACAAAAGGACCACTGCCTGGGAAATAGCGATTTATCCTTGGATATCCTTCACCTTGGGTCATCCCAGTGGAGATGCTCAGGTGTTTATAAGTCAGGGGCTGGAGCTCAAGAAAGAGGTCATCACTGGTCCTAGAAGTCTGAGCATTTTCTGTTTCTTTCTTTTTTTTGCATTATGAAAGTATGATAGCACATTTATAGGACTCTTAGAAAATATAGAACAAAGTTACGTATAGTTCCACTGTAAGTGACCATTTTCAAGGATAATCTGTGAATGTGCTTCTAAGAAACAGAGTGGGTGATGGTGGGTGGGGAATGGAACTTCTCTGGCAGTCCAGTGGTTAAGATCCACTGCAGGGGGTGTGAGTTCAATCCCTGGCCTGGGAACTAAGGTCCTGCATGATGAGTGGTGTGGCCAAAAAATAAATAAAAAACAAATCAAATAATGGTGGAGTTTATACATATACACACACACACACACACACACACACACACACACACATATATATATATATATATTCAAAAAAGAAAGAGAGAGAGTGAGCAGAAAATAGGGCTCAGGCTGCAACATGGAGACCGGCCCTATGGGAGGGTGAGCTGGAGGAGCCGGCTGCATCTTGGGGACCAGCCCTTTATGGGAGGGTGAGCTGGAGGACGGAGACCAGCTGATGACGATGGCATGGCCAGATGGAAGGGGAATGGGCAGAAGCAATAAGGTTATCCAAACCCAGGGGAGGAAAACATCCCAGAAGAGGAGGGCGAAAATGTGAGTTGATCCAAATGGTCAAATGGGATTGGCTCAAGAAAACATCTTGACCTGTAGCATTTAAAGGACCACAGGTGATCTTCAAGAAAGCAGTTTAGGGAGTGACAGGGCAGGAGGAAGATTCCAGGGAGCTGAGAGATGAGACGGGGAGAAACCTGGACGTGGATCAGCAGAGTCCTTTCCATAAAATACAGGGCCCCCAGCCCCGCCGGCCTGAAATAGAGTGAGAATAGGGCTTGAACACAGTTGCTTGAACAATCATTTGGGGCCTCAGTTTCCCTCCTCCTAAAGTTTAGGTTGAAATAGCTGCTCCTAACCTTAATATGAAATTTACAAGTGGCTTTGGTCTCAGAGCAAAGGGTAGGAAAATAAGATTTTTTTCCCCTGACATACGTCTCCTTTTGAAGGTGATGGGTGAGGATGGAAATTCGCATTTGAAATCAATATTTTAGACGACTTAATGGCAGCATGACAATTGCACATTTGTGGCTCTCAAAAGGGCAGATCTGTTCAAATCAGAGAAGATCGAGCAAAATCGGTAATTTCACGTCTTGCTTGAGAAGGAGGATTCATAGAGAATTTTAAAAAGGAATAAGGTTACTGCAAGGGACTCCCTTTCATGTTAGTCTTTTTTTAAAAAAAAAGACTCTTGGTAACAGATTCATGGCACAGCTGTTGAAAAGAAGGCTCATTAATTAAAAAGCTGCAGTGGCTTTCCTTGGTATATAGAAACGAGTTCTCATTTCTCACGGAGACATTCAAAGTCCGTACAGTCTGAGCCCAACTTCATTTCATGTTTTCTTAGGTATAAAAATCCATTGCCCTTTGGACATTACTGGCCCTTATTGCTGGTCCTTTACAACACTTATTCATCCCGCGAGTGTTAACGTGCCAGGCCCTGTTTTAGGTGCAGAGGTTATGATGGTGAATAAACACACTCGGGGCTCTGTTGAGGCCATGCCATTGGGCTCAGACAGCAGGATTAGAATTTAGAGTCAGGCTGTGAAATTTGGGGGAAATCTTTTCTCTTCTCCAAGCCTCCATTTTCTCTTGTTTAAAGTGAGGTAAGAACACTGATTTTTAGGTTTTATGTAGATGAATGAGAAAATAAATGCAATGAACTTGACAACAGAGCTGGTTCCAGTTACCTTTAGCTTCCTCACTGCTGCTAAAATCCTCTCTGCCCAGGTTGTCTGTCTTCATCAGACTTGTTGGTTGGCCTGGACACAGAACCACTGAACTAAACATTGTCCCTGTGAGGATGCATTTTTTCCCGTTGGCTCCTGTGACCACTGGGGAGCTCCGGCTTTATTAGGCAGGGGAAGCATAAGACTTTGGAACAAGTCAGAGAGATAATGTGATTGGAGCTGGGGTTCCAGCCACTGTAATAACCACACAAGAAGTGGCCAGGAAGGATGAAGTGATGTAGATGTGAAAATCTAGAAGTGACCTTTGGTATGGACAGGGAGGAAGAGATGTTAAATTTAGAAGAGAAACAACACTGGTGATTGGAAATGAGGCCTTTCAGAGAGGGGAGTTGGGGGGACCTGCACACGTGCTTAATCAGCAAGTCGTGTCTGACTCTTTGTGACCCCGTGGACTGTAGCCCTCCAGGCTCTTGTGTCCATCGGATTTCCCAGGCAAGAGTACTGGAGTGGGTTGCCATTTCCTCCTCTAGGAACTCTTCCTGACTCAGAGATGGAACCTCAGTCTCCTTCGTCTTCTGCATTGGCAGGTGGATTCTTTACCACTGAGCCATCTGGGAAGCCCTGTAGGAGTAAAAGGTGGAGTTTAACTTAATCCGAGAATCCTAGAGTGTTCTCTTGGTAATCTGGGACCATCAAGATATGGGGTATTTCAATCGAGGTAGTGTTACTCACTCAGTCATCTTCGGCTGTTTGCGACCCCAGGGACTGTAGTCCACCAGGTTCCTCTGTCCATGGGCTTCTCCAGGTGAGAATACTGGAGTGGGTTGCCATTCCCTTCTCCAGGGGATCTTCATGACCCAGGGATCAAACCCAGGTCTCCTGCAATGCAGTCAGATTCTTTACTGTCTGAGCTGCAGGGAAGCCCTTTTCAGTCAAGGCAGGAAGATATTTCAATCCTTCTTAGCTCGTGACCCAGTAAAGTGAACCCTGAGCACCAGACAGGATTCAGAGGCCTGCTGACTTGGGGAAGTGGCGGACGAAGGTAAGGCTTGAATTTCTTGGTGTCCTGATCGTGCCTCCTGGGCACAAGCTGGAGTGTTCTCATGGCCTGAAATCTCCCTCGGGATGGGTGTCCCTGCACAGTGAGATGGCTATGTTGCAGGCTGCCTGCCTGTCTGCCTGCTATCTGGGTCCTAGCTTTGCTTAACAACGAGAAAAGGGACACTCGGGTGTTGAGATTTTGAATAAGTACTAAATGGCCTCTATCTTCTCAAGTCTTCACCTTGCTGCTTTCACTGGGAGCTGGCTTGCTTCATGTCTCTTGATTGTCACACTGGGACAGGGAATTGTTTCTCAATGACTTATTGACTCAAAGTCTGTGTTCTTACAAGCAGGGAGTGGGCCCTTATTGGTTCATCTACTTGATCTTGCTTTGTGAGGCACATGTAATAACACCTGGAACCACAACACCAGTGAGGCTGACCACTGCTGAGCCGTGTGTGATGGAATTTTCACTCTCTTGTCAACATTTCTGCTGCCCCAAGATACACAGGCAACATCTTCTCTCGGCTTCGTTTCAGAAAGCATGGTGATCACAAAAGGACGCTGAGGTCTCTGAACAGCAAGATGGATACAGGTGATGGTGCTGGAATAAGGAGATGCCCAGCAGGTGGCTGAGAAGGGGACCCGCAGCGTAGGGTCGAGGCTGTGGCCCGTGGTCCAGCTGTGGGGAGTGTCATCCCCGTTGATGCTGGGGGAGGAAATGAGCTGTTCAGAGGGAGCATGTGAAGGGCGGAGGAGCAAGTGAAAGAGCAGAGCTGAGAAGGAAGGGAAGAAGAGGAGCAGGGCATGAGGAACCTTCACCTTCACCCTAACACTGTTCTCAACTGCTGTGGAGCAAGGCGTATGAGGGTCCAGGATGAGAGAAGCTTTCAGAGCTGGGGACTGAAGAGCTGTGACCCCCGAGGGCTCAGAGAAGGTCACAGGGGCTCAGTGAGAGCTGCTGGTGAGGAGGTGGGAGGACGCCGTGGCGGGCAGCCTCAGAATGAGAGCCGCCGGCGAGGAGGTGGGATGACGTCGTGGCGAGCAGCCTCAGAATGAGAGCTGCTGGCGAGGAGGTGGGATGACGTCGTGGCGGGCAGCCTCAGAATGAGAGCTGCCGGCGAGGAGGTGGGATGACGTCGTGGCGAGCAGCCTCAGAATGAGAGCTGCTGGCGAGGAGGTGGGATGACGTCGTGGCGAGCAGCCTCAGAATGAGAGCTGCCGGCGAGGGGGTGGGATGACATCGTGGCGGGCAGCCTCAGAATGAGAGCTGCTGGCGAGGAGGTGGGATGACGTCGTGGCGAGCAGCCTCAGAATGAGGCTTTTGTCAAAGAGATAGTTGATGAGAACCTAGCGTATAGCACAGGAACTCCGCTCGGTGCTCTGTGGTGGCCTGAATGGGAAGGAAGTGGAGAAGGACGGGGTAAACACATACGGATGGCCGGCTCTCTTTGGGTATGGCAGGAACTGACCCGGCACTGCACAGTAACTACACTTCAATAAAAATTAATTAATGGAAGAGAATTAGGTTTTCAATTGGAGTGGGGCAGGATCACGGGGACCCTCAGACTAGCAGACTGGACCCGTGGTAACCGCAGCGGGAGCCCGGCGACCTCTGAACTTCGCGGTCTGGGGAGAAGCACTTGGTGACTGTCTAAGCCCATGTGAATAAGGGGTTTTTTGTTTCCAGCAGCCAAACACATCTCAGTGGTTTCCATCTACTAGAATGCAAACGCCAGGAAGGCAGGGATCTCACTAGCTTGTTCATTCTTGAATACCCAGGGCCTAGAATAGTGGCTAGTGTATGTGGATAAATATTTGTTGAATAGAATATCTTTAAGAAAGTGCTTCTAATAATGTTACTAGTAAAGACTGTTGGGAGTTTTTAGGTAAGAGAACAGGTACACGTCTCTAGGGGCTTCTCCAACATCACAGTTTTTCTGTAACGGACCCAGGATAAGTGGGCAGAAGGCTTGGTGCCAGCTGGTTGCAAAACAGCATCATCTACAAATACTATCTAGTGTTATCTTCTTGAATCAAAAGTTCAGAACAATAGTTCTTAACCAAAGGTGTACATGAAAATCTCTTGGGAGTTTTCCTAAACTATACAAGTCTTCTTAAACTGCTTAACTGTAAATAAGGCATTTTTGAGACAACCAAGGATATTTAATTACAGGTTAGGTCTACAGCATCCAAGAGAAATATAATTCAAACCATGTAAGTAATTTAAAATTTTCTAGAAGTCACATTAAAACAAAAAAAGGAAAAACAAACAGGTGAAATGAAATTTATTCATATTGTTTTACTTAAACAAATACATCCAAATGTTATCATTTCCATGTGTAATTCATGTAAGAAGCTATTAATGAAGTAATTCACATCCTTTCTATGGGTGAATGTGGCTGAACCATGAAATTTGACTTGCCCAGGAAGCAGGTGTAATGGAGGGCAGCCTCTGACCCCGTGCTGACTATTGTGCTGTGTGTGAACTGGACTTTTGTTGCTTCATCTACAAAAAGGCTCTATGCTTAGAGTAACCTGAAAACAGGTATGTGAAGTAGGTATTATTCACCCATTTTACCTGTGAGGTTGCTGAGGCCCAAAGAACTTGAGTACCTTGCTCTGGTCTCTTAGCTATGAACGTGGGATCAATCTTGAACCCAGGTTTCCCAGACCCTGTAGAAACCTCTTTCCGTTTTGTTGCCCTTTCAGACCCTCTGTGTTTTCAACCAGAAACCTCCCAGGAAGTAACAGCATCTTTCCTCGTCACTCTAGGGTTCTGGTCAGGGTTGCAAGGCTGTCCTTCCCAGCCTTATAGGCAGAAGCCAGTAGAGATCTGGGAAAAGATACTTGAGGGGGTATAGAAAAGGCCATTTGTTTTCTTCTAAACATACTCGGAATAATGCAGTGTCTAAACAGCCCTGCCTTAGAATGTAAAGGCATGATTTACTTTTGAAAACGAAGGGGGTCAGGTCTCTGCTTGATATTCACAGTGAAGACTCTTTTCGCCATCAGCTACTGTCCTCACCAGCATCCCCTCAACTTCTGGGCACGGGGCATCCGTCTGGGCGTAGACCTTCCTGCTACACTTAACAGCAGCACCAAAGGAAATTCAAAGGCAAAATTAGCTTGAGGGTTGCTGGTGCAAATAAATTCTCAGCGGAGGGACTGAAGCATGGTAATTTAGCAGTTTTCGGCCGTTTCTCAATAATAACTGAGATAATTATTTATAATTAGATGAGATCTAATAAAGGATTACATTTAAACCAGATGAAAAACATGGACCCCCTACCTCCACCACTTACGCATTCTCACTGACTAATTCAAATATTTCTCATTTCTTTTTCTCCCACAAAAGGATGAAAAGAGCTGTTTTGCCTTTGAGTAAAAATAAGTATAATTTTCTTCTAGCGGGCTCACCAACAGTTCATGTTGACTTGCCACAAAGGCCAATTAAGAGACAATCATCATCATTGGCTAATCTTGCAGGCCTTTTGAGTGACTGTGAGTTGAAATGGAGTTGATCTGTGAGGGCCCGGCTTCCCGCAAGCAGCGCGGGGCCCACCTGCGGTGTTCTGGAGACCTGGGGCTCGCCTCTCATCAGCCCGTTGTGTCCCTGCTCTGCCCTCATTGCCCTGATGGAGACTTGAGAGGTGTGGCCGCTCAGGCTTTGAGGGTGACTGATTAAGCTCCTGCTGCCTGCGCCCCCAGCCTCCTGGAGCGAGCCTCCGGATGAAGGGCATTCTGGTGGGTGGCAGGCTCTGGAGCAGCAGGAGAGTGTGCACAAGCACTTAATGCTGCTTCTAATTTCTCAACAATTGGAGGCACCGAAGGCAGAGCGTCTTGGGAATTTATTCTCCACGTTAATCGGGATAATTTGAGAAAACCACTTTCAGCTGTCCATGCTCACGGTCCCTTATGCTTCGCACTGCCTACACCCAATTAACTAATCATTTTTATTGCGTAGCAACTTAGCTTTAGAACAGAACAAGCTGTGTGCTGAAATATAGGTGGAAGCAAGGACTCTGGGTTTCTCTGCTGTTCTAGTGAGAGGGAGAGGGAACAGTCCTGAGGTGTCACCTGGCTGACCCACACAGACCCACCATCTTCAGGGGAGAAACCGGGGGCTGGGGTGGGTCTGAGAGGAGCGGTGCGTGCTGCATCATCCAGGGCAGAACCGATCGAACGTGGGGATGGAGAGGAGGGGACCGAGGTGAGACCATCCCACCCCAGCCTGTCTCCCCAGGACACCTGAATCAGTGTCCATCTGTGGGCACCACGGAAGGGTGGGCAGGGGAGAAGGATGGTCATTTCTGGTAACCAAGCTAAGAGATCACAGATCCAGGAGAGGACTTAAGTGCAACCTCTTTAAGTCTCTGTGGTTGAAATCATCAGTGAGTTCAAAAGTAGATGGTTTTTTAATGAATCCTTTTTGGAGTATAGTTGCTTCATATGTTGTGTTAGTTTCTGCCTTGTGGCAAAGTGAATCACTTATATGTTTATATAATCCTCTCTTTTGGATTTCCTTCCCATTTGGGAAGAGTACTGACCAGTAGGTTCTCACCAGTTATCTAGTGAGCAGAGAAGGAGGGGCTGCAAGCTGGAGCTGAGAGCTGGGTGTTCAGTGGTCCCCTAAATTGTGGAGGGAAAATGGACCAGGGGTGGGGCAGGGCAGCAGCCATCATGAACTTGAAATGAGACCAGTGGGTGTGTTTTTGTCCAGCCATATTCAGCCAGCTGCTGGGGTATGGGGACAAACATGTCAATGGAGGATTTACTGAGGGTCAAGTTTTGCTGGGCAAGAAGCAAGGAGGGGAGAACATGGATGAGGAGTTTGAGGATGTGGCATGAGAGGGATTATAAAAAGGCACAAGGTGGTCCAGGGACAGTGAGTGGATGCATCGGGTCAATGCATTCAAAGTCCTACTGGTGCTGAAGCATTGTGAAATAGAAAGGACACATTCAGAAAGTTTGAGAATATAGGGGATTTGGCTGAAAACTGGCCGCAGATATAATATAAGGGAATAGTCGAGAGTTGGTGGGGGGTGGTAGAGAGTAGGGGGTGGGTTCTGCTGAGAGCAGAAAGAACTGGATGGGCTTAGAGCCTGGGAATTAGCCTGGAATTATAAGGTTGTCAGGAGACTTAGGCTACCCAGGGAGGTGATGGGTAGCCATTTCCTTCTTCAGGGGATCTTCCCGACTCAGGGATTGAACCCAGGTCTCCTGCATTGCATGCAGATTCTTTACCATCTGAGCCACCAGGAATGCCCAGTTGCATAGTGGGCATTTTTCTTGGCACATTCCATTAAATTGACTATTTTTGATTCAAATCTATGTTTTCCCCATAGACCTTTTTCCCTTCCTTCTTTTCTTCCTGTCTTTCCGTATAGTTGATTTCAGGTGTATAGCACAGTGATTCAGATATTTATTTATGTGTCTACTCTTTTCCTGATTCCTTTGCATTATAGCAGAGGTCCCCAACAAGTTCATGGTCTGTTAGGAACCAGGCTGCACAGTAGGAGGCGACCATTGACTGAGCAAGAGAAGCTCCATCTCTGTTTGCATCTGCTCCCCCATTGCTCACATTACTGCCTGAGCTCTCCTTCCTGTCAGATCAGTGGTGGCATCAGATTTTCATAGGAGCATGAGCTCTGCTGTGAAGTGTGCATGCAAGGGATCTAGGTTGCATGATTGTTATGAGAATCTAATGCCTGATGATCTGATTTTGCATTATGGTGAGTTGTATAATTATTTCGTTATATATCACAATGTAATAATAATAGATATAAACTGTATAATAAATGTAATGTGCTTGAATTGTCCTGAAATTATCTGCCCCCTACCCTGGTCCTTGGTGCCCAAAGGTTGGGGACCATTGCATTATAGTTTATTGTAAAATATTGAGTATAGTTTCTTGTGCTAAATAGTCAATCCTTGTTGTTTCTCTGTTTCATATATAGTAGTCTGTATATGGTAATCCCAACCTCCTAACTTTTCCCTCCCTTTTCCCTTCTTTCCTCTTTGGTAACCGTAAGTTTGTTTTCTATGTATAGACCTTTTTTCATACCATGATTTTTCATGGAAAATCTCCCACCATCAACCTACTCCCAATAGGAAACCTAAATCCCCTCCTTGCCTGCTCTCTTTCCCCACGCCACATTAAAGCCCAGCAAGCCATTTTGGTGGGACTTCACCCAGGATCTGAATCTGCCAGCTTGTGCCTCTAGCTCTACATGGCTGTGTTCCAGACGACTGTGTCTCTGACCTGGTGTCTGCACACCGCTTTCCTCCATCCTCATTCTGCTGTAAATGCTTCTTCCATCTAGGTGAGCATCTGAGAAGCATCTTGGTTAGACTCCAGCACATCTGCTTGGACCCTTGCTGGGTTCCCAGAGCTGAGTACAGTGCTTGACCCCTGGAAAGAAATCCATCAATATTTAACCACTGGATTGATTCCCACTGCAGATACTATGGGCTCCTTCACTGCATGTGACAAGCCCAAATCATGCTAATGAGAAAATCATATAATTCATTGGCTCCTAGGCCTGAGTGGTCTAGAAATGAAATTTGACTATCTCTAGAGATACAGTTGGAGAAGACAATGGCACCCTACTCCAGCACTCTTGCCTGGAAAATCTCATGGACAGAGGAGACTGGTGGGCTGCAGCCCATGTGGTCGATAAGAGTCGGACACAACTGAGCGACTTCACTTTCACTTTTCACTTTCATGCATTGGAGAAGGAAATGGCAACCCACCCCAGTGTTCTTGCCTGGAGAATCCCAGGGATGGGGTCGCACAGAGTCGAACACGACTGAAGCGACTTAGCAGCAGCAGCAGCAGAGATACAATAACCTCCTTTCCTGAGTACGCAGGCTGGCTTCTTTCAGGCGTGTCTTATCAGCTTGCTGATCCCTGCAGAAAAGCAAAGAGTTTTCTGGAAGCTCTAGGGGAAGGTACCAGGGCCAGGCTTGTCCACCTCTGGAGGGTGGGCACTAGCCCTCCCCGGCAGGGAGGAGGGGTTCTGAAGCTAATGACCTGTTCCTCCCTGCCTGTCCCCTCCCCATGCCCACCTCGTTTGGCAGTGTTAAAGAGAGGAGACAGGAAATCTGGAGACAGGAGTTAATGCCTAACAGTGGTTCAGTCTGGAAGTTCTGTTTGCTTTGGATTGTTGAGTCCATGAAAGCAGATCTGTGTCTTTACAGAGGAAGTGAGGGAACATTTGTCATAGCATATTTGATAAATGTGAAAAGACAAGTGTAGGAGGGTGTGTTATTTTGATTGATGACAGCATACTCATATCAGTGTCAAAAACATATTAGGAAGATGCAAAACTCCATCATCTCTTAATAATAGAAATAAAATAGGTTCAATTAAAATGCTTGCTGCTCTTTTTCAAGTGCAGGACCAAATGGCATAAACCAAAGGTTCTTATGATCCTCAGAAAAGAAGAACAACAAATCTGTTAGAAAAACAATTTGCAAAATACTCATTAGTCCAAAAGCATCCCTGAGAATTCTGCCTCCAGGCCTCTAATGGGCCATGAAACTTGAATTCAATAAAAAATGATTTAACCGTCAAGCGGGTGAACTGGGTAGATGTCGGCTTCCTTGCTCTCTCATTATGGAGTTTATTTTTTGGAGGCTGTTTGTGTAAATGCTATTTGTTTTACTGAAGTTCAAAGAAGCTCTTTGTGAAAATGGTATTTTGTTTCATGGAAGGTGCTGGTACCGGCTGACCTCCTATCCATCTTCCCACTGTTCTCTGCCACCCTCCCTCCCCCAGGGGGTCCCGGAAACCTCAGCCCCCAGTGCTGAGACTGCCGGGTGTGAGCAGTGAGTCAGCCAGTCTGGGGAATTCTGAGAGCGCGTGCATTAGATTCTTGCTTTCCAATCCATTAATTTTGTTGTTTCTGGGCCTGTTGGGAGCCCTGTTGCTGCTTGTAAGAATAACCTCTCTGCTGATGCTTTGGGCATCTGTTAGCCAGGCAGCTGTTTCCCAGACATTCTGTCTCCACAGCATCGCTGGCCTCTGCGTGTCTTTGTGTGGTGGACCCAGTTTTATACTGCCTCCATGGGAGGGTGTGAGCGTCTTCCTCAAGGGTGGGGCACCACTCACGTCTCTTCTGGGAACACTGAGCCCATCCTCTGATATGGGAGGACGTGGACAATCCTGCCCAAGCACTTTACAGAGAATCAGAGGAATCTTCTCAGGACACCGTGGTCTGGGATTTTCTTCTGATGAGTTGTCATCTCGTGCCTCCGATGAGAAGCCATCAGGGACCAGGGCCTGGGCGGCGGCTTTCTGACGCACTGATGCGACTTGGAGTCTTGTGCCTGGTGGAGGCCAGGAGAGGGGGGTGGACAGGTGGTCGGCCTGTACCGGCTCACCCTTGGTCCCAGGGGATCCAGGCGCTTGATTAGCATGTAGAGGCCCAACTGCCATTTAATTGGCTAATGGTTGCTTCTCTCCTTCTAGGTCTGATGGGTCTTCCTGCGGGGTGATCAGACAGTTTGGGGCAAGTGGAGGTCCAGAGAGGGTAAGAACTCTACCCTTAGAGAGATAAGAGCTTTGGAATTCAGTCCTGCTTCTTATCAGCTGGGTAATGTTTGAAAATTTACTTAACTTCTTTGACCCTCCATTTTATAATTAAAAAATGCAAATAAGAAGACCTACCCCTTTACCCTGTATTCATAGTGGCAGTAATCACAATAGCCAAAACATAGAAGCAACCTTGATGTCCATTGACAGATGAATGGGAAAAGAAGTACATATTCCCAGGTGGCGCTAGTAATGAAGAAGCCACCTACCATTGCGGGAGATGCAGAGGTGTGGGACCCATCCCTGGGTCAGGAAGATCCCCTGGAGGAGGAAATGGCAGCCTGCTCCAGTAGTCTTGCCTGGAAAATCTCATGAGGAACCCGGTGGGCTACAGTCCATAGAGCTGCAAAGAGTCGGCCATGACTGAGCGCACACGTACACACACCATGGAATAGTACTCTACCATGAAAAAGAGTGAAATAATACTGTTTGGAGTACCATGGATATACCTGGAGATTATCATACTAAGTGAAGTAAATCAGATGGAGAAAGACAGATGCCATATGTGAAATCTAAAATATGACACAAATGAGCTTATCTGTGGAACAGACTCACAGACAGAGAACAGGCTTGTGGTCACCTAGCAGGAGGGGATTGGGGAAAGATGGATTAGGCATTTGGGACTAGCAAATGCAAACTAAAGTATAGAGACTATATATACGGCAAGATAATATTGTATAGTACAGGGAACTATATTCAATATCCTGTGACAATCCACAATGGGAAAGAATATGAAAAAAAGACCCACCTGTTAATTTCAGGTATACAACAAAGTGATTCAGTTATGCATATATATGCATGTATATATATATATATATATATCACATGTATATATATATATCTGCCTATCTATATCTATACAAATCTATTCTTTTTCAGATTCTGTTCCCTTATAGGTTATTACAAAATATTGAATATAGTTCCTTGTGCTATTCAGCAGGCCCTTGTTGTTTATCAATTTATATATGGTTGTGTGTATACATTAATCCCAACCTTCTATTTTTTCTCTTCCCCCTCTGCCCTTTGGTAACCATGGCTATGTCTGTGAGTCTATTTCTGTTTTATAAATAAATTCATTTGTATTATTTTTTAAGACTCCACATATAAGTCACATCATATGGTATTGGTCTTTGTCTGACTACTTCACTTAGTATGATAATCTCTATGTCCAGCCATGTCAAATGGCATTATGTCATTCTTTTTTATGGCTTAGTAATATTCCATTGTATACATGTGTCACATGTTTGGGCTTCCCTGGTAGCTCAGCTGGTAAAGAATTTGCCTGCAATGCCGGAGACCCTGGTTCCGTTTCTGGGTTGGGAAGATCCCCTGGAGAATGGAAAGGTTACCCACTCCAGTATTCTGGCCTAGAGGATTCCATGGACTGTATAGTCCATAGGGTCGCAAACAGTTGGACACAACTGAGTGACGTTCACTTTCACTTTTTTATCCATTCCTCTGTTGTAGGACACTTATGTTGCTTCAACGTCTTGGCTGTTAGTGGGAATGTAAACTGATGCAGCTAGTTCATATGGAGAACAGTTAAGGAAGTTCCTTTAAAAAACTAAAAATAGAGCTATTATATGATCCAACAATTCAACTCCTGGGTATATATCCAGATAAATGTTAATTCAAAAAGATATAAGCATACCTGTTCATAGCAGCACTATTTACGATAGCCAAGACAGGGAAGCGGTTATTTATATGAGCTCCCCTTTGTTGAATAGGTAGTGTGATTTCTGTTTTTCTGGCTAAACCTGGACTCATATAGGATGATGTAAGATGTCAAGGGTTCCTTATTTCAGGAAACAGATCCTCAGTGAGGAGACTTAGGAATTGGTTTGGTGGTATCCTTCAGCTTAAGTACAGTGCTGAGCTCCTAGCCACCAGCAACCGGATGCTGGAAAGACCTGAGGTGCAGTGGCAAGGAGAGTGTCTGAACCGCCAGGTGATTCTCGTGACGTTTCATAAACCGAGTGTCTGACTCACTTGTCTGCTGCAGGTGGCCACCTCGGTGGTGACAACCATCCCGAGCAACAATTGTGGGTGACGCGGCTGCTCCTGAGGGCGGTGAGAATGACAACTCAGGGCTCTGAACTCTGCTCCAGTCAGGATCAGAAAGCTGGAGAGCAACCACGACAGCCTTACAGTGGTCTCTTAGGAGGTGAAGTTACCACACTCAGAGATATCTGCTCCCCATATTTATTGCAGCGTTACTGACAGCAGCCCCGACATAGGAACAACTTAAGTGTCCACAGAAGGATGAGTGGGTGAAGAAGTTGTGAGTTACACATAAGCGCGTACATGCAGTCAAGTGTATGTATCTGTTGCTATCTAGCTGCTCGGTTGTGTCTGACTCTTGTAGCCCTGGGACCTGTGGCCTGCCATGCTCCTCTCTCTATGGGTTTTCCTACTAGAGTGGGTTTTCATTTCCTTCTCCAGGGTGTCTTATGGATCTAGGGATCAGACTTGTGTCTCCTGCATTGCAGGCAGATTCTTTACCACTAAGCCCCCAGAGAAACCCAAATATATTTATACGCAGCCCTAAAAAAGAAGGAAATCCTGACATTTATGACAATGTGGATGGGCCTTGAGGGCATTATGTGAAGTGAAATAAGTCAGATAGAGAAAGACAAATATTGTGTGATCTCACTTCTATGTGCAATCTAAACAAAATCAAAAACCAAAACTGCCCCAAACCCTCCCAATTCATAAAAAAAAAAAAAAAAAGATTAGATTTGTGGTTACCAGAAATAGAGGATGGGGAGATGGGGGATTTGATGAAGATGGTCAAAAGGTAAACTGCTAGTTATAAGATAAATAAGTCCTGGCATAGAGAACCAACTTGTAATTGCCAAGCCAGGGTGGTTAGAGGAGGGATGGACCAGGAGCTTGGGGTTAGCAGGTGCAAACTATTACATTTAGAATATGGCAGAAACCAACACAATATTATAAAGCAATTATCCTCCAGTTAAAAACAAATTTAAATAATTTAAAAAATGAATAAACAACAAGGACCCTGTTGGGACTATAGGGAGCTATATTCAATATCCTATGATAAACAATAATTGAAAAGAATATGAAAAAGAATGTATGTACGCGTATAACTGAATCACTTTGTTGTATACCTAAAACTAACCCAACACTGTAAATCAACTATATCCCAATAAAAAAATAAAAAAAGGTAAGTCCTGGGAATGTAACATACAGTTTGATAACTACAGTTAGCACAGCTATAAGGTATATTTGAAGGTTGCTAAGAGTAGATCCTTAACTCAGTTCAGTTCAGTTGCTCAGTCATGTCTGACTCTTCATGACCCCATGAACCGCAGCATGCCAGGGCTCCCTGTCCATCACCAAGTCCCAGAGTCCACCCAAACCCATGTGCATTGAGTCGGTGATGCCATCCAACCATCTCATCCTCTGTCATCCCCTTCTCCTCCTGCCCCAATCCCTCCCAGCATCAGGGTATTTTCCAATAAGTCAGCTCTTCTCATCAGGTGGCCAAAGTACTGGAGTTTCAGCTTCAGCATCAGTCCTTCCAATGAACACCCAGGACTGATCTCCTTTAGGATGGACTGGTTGGATCTCCTTGCAGTCCAAGGGACTCTCAAGAGTCTTCTCCAACACCACAGTTCAAAAGCATCAATTCTTCGGCGCTCAGCTTTCTTTATAGTCCAACTCTCACATCCATACATGACTACTGGAAAAACCATAGCCTTGACTAGATGGACCTTTGTTGGCAAAGTAATGTCTCTGCTTTTTAATATGCTGTCTAGGTTGGTCATAACTTTCCTTCCAAGGAGTAAGCATCTTTTAACTTAATTTAAATGTAAACTTAGGGGTCCTTAAGAAAGTCAGAGTGAGATATGATTATGAAGAGGGGTCAGAGGGATCCATGTTGCTGGCTGTGAGGAAGAAAGATGCTGCTGAGAGCTAAGGACTGTGAGCAGCCTCTATAAGCTGGAATTGTAAGGAAGTGACTCTCCTTCTAGAGACTCCAGTAAGAAATGCAGCCACACAGACACCTTCATTTTAGGCCAGTGAGACCTATGTCAGGTTTCCGACCTACTGAACTGTAAGGTAATAGAGCTGTGCTGTTTTGAGACGCTGAGTGTGTGGTACTTGTTATGGCAGCTACGGAAAACTAACACAGACCTGCAACCATGGTCTGATCTCAGCGTGCTGCCTGGGACAGACAGAAAGGCTGTTCAAACCTAGGTTATCCTAGATTTTCTGTGTGGGGTTATCCTAATGTAAACACCAGTTCAGTTCAGTTCAGTTGCTCCGTCGTGTCTGACTCTTTGCAACCCCATGAACCGCAGCACGCCAGGCCTCCCTGTCCATCACCAACTCCCGGAGTTTACTCAAACTCATGTCCATCGAGTCAGTGGACATTCCACTGACTATTATTTCAAAGTCATTTATATTCCAAAGTCGTTGCAAAAGCTGGCTAATTTATCAGTAGAGACCTGCGTGTGTGCTAAGTCTTTTCAGTTGTGTCCTGCTCTTTGCAACCCTATGGGCTGTAGCTCACCAGGCTCAACTATCTCCAGGCAAGAATACTGGAGAGGGTTGCCATGCCCTCCTCCAGGGGATCTTCCTGATGCAGGGATTGAACCTGCATCTCCTGCGGCTCATGCATTGAGGGCAGATTCTTTACTGCTGAGCCAGCAGGGAAATATACACACACAGACACACACATGCACACACGCACGTTCTTTTAAAATATTCTTTTCCTTTATGTTTTATCACAGGGTATTGACTATAGTTCCCTGTGCTATACAGTAGAACCTTGTGTATCCATTCTATGTATAATAGTTTACACCTGCTAATCCCAAACTCCTACTCCATCCTTCCCCATACTCCTCTCCACTGACACCCATTAGTCTGTTCTCATGTCTATCAATCTGTTTCTGTTTCACACACAGGTTCATTTGTGTCATAGTTTAGATTCCACATATAAGTGATATCATATTTGTCTTTCTCTGACTTACTTCACCTAGTGTGATGATCTCTAGTTGCATCCATGTTGCTGCAGATGGCATTATTTCATTCTTTTTAATGGTTGAGTAATATTCCATTGTATATATGTACCATGTCTTCTTTTTCCATTCATTTGTCACTGGACATTTAGATTGCTTTCATGCCTTGACTATTGGGAATAATGCAGAGCCCTCAGTTTAAAGGTGGGGGGCACCGTTGAGGGACTTTGCTGCACTGCCGCAAGTTCATCCTGTAAATCTTCCTCTAAGCTGTCCCCACAGTGTCCTGGACCTGTTGATTAAGATGACTGTGCTCATGTCACTGGATGAGGGAAATGCCCAGGATGTCTGGTGCATTCCTCTGTGTTGGCTTTTTATGACTGTTGATTCCTGTGGAGCCCAAAAGGGTGTGGTCCTCAGATCAGGCTCATGGGCTCACCTTGTGATTATTTCCCACTTCTGAATGTGTGATCTGAATACACATCAAAAGCAATGACTAGAATCTCCTCATTGGCCTTAGGCCCATGGAGGGAGAGCTGTGACAGCAGACGGACAAACTCCCTTGGGACATCACTTCCTGACCTGGATAGAAACCCGAAGTAATGCCCTAGACCAAGGACCAAGAGTTGAAGGGCCACATGTTCCTGTGTCCACATGAGCTTGTCCAGTGGATGCCTTTTCCCTGGACTGGACCGTTAGGCACAGAGTCTCAAGGACAAGTTAGAGCTGATGGTGAAGGTGTGGTGTTGGAGTGGGTAGCCCTGTGTGTACATCTCGGGACTACCACTGTCCAGGTGTGTGGTCTGGGACGTGGACCCGGGTAGAACAAAGCCCTAGTTTCTTCATGGAAAAGGCCAAGAGTGTGGAGGGTGAGAGGTTCCAACTTTCTGAACTCACTGTGGGTCTCCCACTCACTTGGGAGTTGCGTGAACTTTAAAGTTGCTTAAGTTCTCTGTGCTCTAGTCTTCATCTCTATAAGAAAATATTATAAAGTCTACTTATTAGCTTCTTGTGAGAATTTAGTAATATCATGGATACAGTATGTTGGAACAAAACAAGTGCTAGAAAATAAGTGATACTATCATTATGCTAATTATTCAGGAGAAGAAACTGTTTGGTACATGATGGCTGAGGCTGGTGTGAACAGAGGTGAGAAGTGATGCATTTTGTATCCAAGGCCTGACCAGTGATGGTTCATACCCCAAACCAACTAACCAACCAACTGACCAACCCACAAATGAACAACAAAAATTTCCATCCTATTTTTCAAATGATTATGCAGATTCAGTTCATTGCAGGGTGAGTGGATCAGAGGTGTAGGGAGTATCTGGGGACAGACGGTGGGTGATGAGAAGGGTCTTTATTGCCTGTAGGACCTGCAAAGGCAGAAAACCATGTGGCCACAGGTTCCTGGATGGATTAAATTACATTCCAAGCTTATTGCAATGTCTTTCCCTTAGACATGAACTGGTTCCTGGACTGACAGTCTTCTCTGGGCACCAATGATGGTCCTGACGTTTTCTACCAAGTTCAAACAAAAATATGGGGCCTCTATAGTACCTGTATGAAGGAGGATATCTAGCATTTACTCAGCCCATCCTAGGTACCAGACACTATGTAAGCAACCTTATATACAGCTGGATTCTCACAACCAGAGTGGAAATATTCATTTCACCCCCAAAAGAGAATGCCAACAATAGCAGCAGTGGCAGCAATGGGCAGCCTTTGTTGAGGATCGCTGTGTGCTGACACTGTGCCAAGTATTTTACATGTATTATTACTTAATCCTGGCAGGGAGCCCTTGGGAGTGGCATTGTATTTATTTTCATTTTGTAAATGAGAAAACCCAGGTGCAGAGAAGTTATAGAGACAGGCCCAATAAGTGCTAAAACTGAGAGTTCACAATAGGATGATCTGATTCTGAAGGCTGTTCTTTCCTGTATTAATTTGATTTTACCCAACAGAGAAGAGTTCACATGGATCCCATTCATGCTGAGAAGTCGGCTGTGGTGGGGAGGTGATGGATTGTGGGCCTGTTATTTTTTAAAAGAGGGCAATGGAGAGAATTTATCTTCTCCCTAAAATTCAAGTTTGCTTTGGACAAACAAAAGAGGATAAGATCCCTCTGTGGGCCTGGCCCTTGCCAGGTGCTAATGTGTCAGGGATGACTGTGTCCTTA